TCAAACTAGCCTGGGCAGAAAGCCAGGAGCTTGGAAATAAGGAACATACTTGAACATCAGCTTAACCCTCTGCCCCATGAAGTGTGTCTTTTGTCTTCACTGCCACCCCCTTTCTTGACACAGAGTCCCTAAAACCCTTGGCATATCTGTGATGAGTGCAGAGGAGAAGGGCTGGTGGTGGAGAGGGAGCAGCGGGCATTAGAGAGGTTTAAGATGAGGCTGGTCCCCAGAAAGACCAGCAGGGAAGGGTTCAGGAGTCGGAACCCTCATTCCCTCCCACCTGCCTCTGAGCCTCCCCCACCTCCTCCCTGCCTCCCTCCCCAGGAGAGGAACTGAAGGTTAAGCCATCACCACCAGCCATCCAGTGGTGGTATCAATCATGCCTACATCTGAAAACCCCCAGAAAAAGCCCAAAGAAAACTGGGTTCAAAAAGTTTCCAGGTAGCTGGCTAAGAATTCGTGGCAGCTCTGCAGGGCGGTGCCCAGCGAGGACATGGAAGCCCCACGCCTCTTCCCATAATCACCCCGCCCCATGTAGCCCTTCCATCTGGCTGCTTTTCCTCATCCGTGGTAACATTCTTTATAAAACCAGCAAATGCAGCTGGGCTCTGTGAGCCACCCTTGCACAACAGCCAAACCCCAGGAAGCGGCCTGTTTTACAGCCAGGTCCTCAGAGCCAGGGGTCCCCATTGCACCCTGTGCCCTGAAAGGGGGGTCGGTGTTGAGCCCCTCCACCTGGAGACAGGGTCCTCCCAGAAGGCCCAGCCACTGTAGGGTGGCTCCCCGGCTGTGTGGGGGAACACACACACACACACACACACACACACACACACACAGAAGTCTGAGATCACAGAGATAAGAAGAGGAAAAGCACAACACACTTTGGTATTTGAGATCAGAAAGGGAAAATAGGCAGATGATGCGGCACAACCGGTTCAGCCACTTCTTGGGACACCCACAAGCCGTGTCACGGAGCCAGGGAGCAAATCCACCTGTAATCCAGCTTCCTGCTGAAGTGCATCCTGGGAGGCGGCAGCAACGGCCTGTCACCGACTTGGGAACTCCCCAGTGGAGCTCCTGGCTCCTGGCTTCAGCCCCAAGTGCTGTCAGTATGTGGGGAGTGAACCAGCAGAGAAGGACACTCTTTTTTTTTTTTAATAGGTTTTTACTTATTTGAAAGGTACAGTGACAGAATAAGAAGCTCCTGGCTTCTGGCTTCAGATCAAGTCAGCTCAGTGGGGAGTGAACCAGCAGATGAAAGATCTCTCCTTCTCTTTCTCTCCTCTGTAAATCTGCCTTTCAAATAAAAATAAATAAATCTTTAAAAAAATAATTTCAAGTAGGGCCTGGTACAGCAGCCTAACAGCTAAAGTCCTCACTTTGCATGCACCAGTATCCCATGTAGGCACAGGTTCATGTCCCAGCTGCTCCACTTCCCTTCCAGCTCCCTGCTTGTGGCCTGGGAAAGCAGTCAAGGATGGTCCAGGGTCTTGAGACTTACCATTCTTTTCTTGGTTTGTGTGATGTTTGTATATTATTTAGGAAATATTTTCCTATCCTAATAAGATAATATAGGAACATATATTGCATTAGGATAGGAAAATATTTTCTAAGTAAAACACAAACCAAGAAAGAATGGTAAGTTTAGTTATATTTAAGACCTTCTCAATTCTTAAATGGAATAGGAAGGTGAGCCACAAACTATGAAAGAGATTTGCAACACATGTAAGGATGAGAGCAAGAATCTGAAACGGAAACTTCCCAGGAAGGGAGATAGATAGCCAACCAACATGGATGCTGGCACTGCAACCGGTGGCTTAACCCACTGCGTTCCAAAGGCACCCCCCAGTAATGTTCGTTTTTAAAAATGAGTGAGTTTTGTGTGGTTTTTTCATACTTGAGGGGTCCTCAGAAAGTTCATGGAAATGCATATAATGAAAAACATTGCAGTGATGTCATAGCTTCTGCACCAAAGTTAACTTATCCTTCAACTTTCTCCACGTTATTGACAGAGATGGGTGACAAGTTCCAAGAGTCCCAAACATGACCTAAACCACTGTGCCAAATGACCATTCTTTCTCTCTTAACTCCATTTTCATTAACTTTTCAAAGTACTCTTGTATCTTAGAGGTAATTGATAAAATCCTGTACATTCACTGGTGCTAACATGAGTTGCTGGTGTCACAAACAGCGGCTTAACCCACTGTGCCACTAGCTCCTTAACTGACAGGTCCTCCAGGTAAAGGCTGTGACTTCCCTATAACTTGGCTCTTTCATTGGTTAGTAGTACATATTGCATATAACTCTAAATATGACAGGAGAAAATGGATAAGAAGTGTCTTTTTTAGGATTTGTTGGTTTGAAAGTCAGAGAGAGAGACAGAGAGAGATAATCCATTGTCTCAGCGGCCCCAGGATTGAGCCAAGTTGATGACAGGAGTCAGGAGACTCTTCTGGGTCTTCTGCATGGCTGGCAGGGACCCAAGCACGTGGGCCGTCTTTTGCTGCTTAGCAGGCACATTAACAGGAAACTGGATCGGAAACCCTTACAGGATGTTGGTGTCACAAGTGGCAGCTTTAGCTGCTATGCCACAATGCCGGCCCCAAGATGTGCCTTATAAAGATAAAATGTGGGGCCAGCATTGTGGCTCAGCAAGGAAAGCCACAACTTGCACTGCCTGCATGCCATATCAGAGCTATCAAAGCACTGGTTTCTGTCCTTGTCACTCCATTCCTGGTCGGACTCCACGCTTTGTGCCTGGGACAGCAGCAGAAAATGGCATTGAGTGCTCAAGGCCCTGCATCCACATGGGAGACACAGCTGGGGCACTAGGCCTCTCTCTCTCTCTCTGCCTTTCAAACAGAATTTTTTAAAGGAACAAAATAAAACGCAACACAGTTGCAAATGGCTACATTTTAGTTCAGGTTTGCTTGGCAGAGAGCAGAACCACATCCTGTGACTCAGTCCTAAGCCCCTCTTCCCTGGGCCCGCCCCAGCTTACAGAAACCGGCTGTGCTGCTGCCGGCTCAGCTTCGGGGGCCCAAGGGTGACTCGGCTGCAGGATTCACGGTGCGCGGAGCCACTCGGGCTGCCCAGCCCATGGGGGCTCCCGCTTGTTGAGAAACCAGCTGCGAATCCCCCAGCTCTGCTCCAAGCCCAGACTGGGCTGCCCTGTGTGCTCAGAAGGTTCAATTCCGACGTGAAGCCCATGAGAGCAATAAAAACTGCCGACCGATAGACCAGTGCATGAGGCACTCCTAACTCCAGCCTTGGAGGCCACACCTGCAGATTGTACCTTAAACGCTGCTCCTTTGCCCTCCCACAGCCCCGACACTCCCCCTCCCCACACACACACACTTTTTCGAGTATATCCCGCTAGCAAATGATCAGCTATTTCTTTGGGGGGGGGGGTGGTTTTATTCTTTGAATCCATGTTCCTGTTCCCCGTACCACTGCGCCAAGGAGGAAGCAAAGCCTGGTTTCCTCAACAGGTGCAACCTTACCTTCACTTTTCACCGAGGCCTTGGCCCAACCTCCCGAGAAATAATGAGGCTGTGGCCTCACCCTAGCAAGGGGTCCCCGCCCACGGAGACTCCCCGCGCCTCTGACCTGGGCAAAGGTCTTCTTCCAGCCTATAAGGGTGGGTGGCTGGAGGAGTAGGGCTCAGAATCTGTTTCGCCTTCTTGAACTTGCTCTTGACAAGTCTCAGATGAAGTCGAGCTGTTTTCCTTTGGAAGTGCATTCCTGGCATCCCAAATATGCCCCTTACCCTGGCCACCTCTGGGCGCTCCGGTCCTGTCTCTGCCGGCCCCAGGCTGGAACCCCAACCCGTCTCCGCGTCCAGCTGTCTGCCCGCGCGAGGGCGCTCGCTCCGCGCCCCGAAGTTGGAGACGCTGGGCAGCCTGAGCGGTGCAAACGGTACTTTTCCAGCGGGGACTGTGCAGAGCCATTGGCTGGGTCACGGCCATGCAAAGGCGGGTCGGGGGGAGCTGGGCCCCCAGATCCGCTTCCCGCTGCTCCCTGAGGCGCAAGGGAGGCGAGCAGCGAGGGCGAGGCCCCGGAAGGTGTGGCTCCCCACTGTTGACCAGTTCCCCCACCCAATGGGCAATGAAGACAACTTAATTCCACCAAGCTGGGCCCCAGGGACCGAGGAGGTGAGTCAGAGGAGGTAGCCCGGGGTGACCGTGTGTGCCCCTGCAGAGTCCGCCCCGCGTGCGAAACGACCACCACCAGCCACTACGCCCTGTCTCCCGGCGTCTTCTCGGGCGGGGCAGGAGGAGGAACTTGGCTCCCAGAAGGAGCCGCTGGGTGATTCATTCTGTCGAAACCGCTGGGGACCGGCTAGGTCAATATTGACGAAGAGCCTTGAGGCTGCATCTAGCCCTGCCCCGGCGACCCCCACCCAGCCCTATTTGGTTTTGTTTCTTTTTATTTGTGTGTGTGTGTGCGTATTCTTTGCACTCAGCCCTAAGTGTGAGCCAAGGAGCACCACGCACAAAGAGAGAGCAGGGAGAGAGAGAGCAGGGAGGGACTGCTAAAACAACCCGAGCAGCCACAGTAACCCCAGTCATGCTTTTCTCCAGGCCAGGCTGGGACAATTAGATCCACCCTCTCCACCCTACTAGCAGTGGAGACGCAACGGTCGGCCCTTCCCCCTCCCCACACCCGCAGCTCTTCCGCGAGCCTTTTGGACTCTAACACCACCACCTAACACCCCCATAGCGACCCACCTTCCCAAGCCCACCAGGCCTGGCTCCTTTACTTCTCCAAGCTCATCCTGCAGGAGACCAGCTGAGCCCTGCCTGACAGCCTTTTGTCCCTTAGACACCTTAGAGGAACAAGCCAGCAGCCCTGTGCCAGGACTGGGAGCCCCTGAGTCACTCTCAGAGGTTAACCGTCTGGTGGCCTGTACGGGTGGCGCCAGGTCCCCGGGGGGAATCCAAAATCACCGGGAAGCCAGGACACAAGGGTAGACTGACCCACAAAACACAAGGGTAGACTGACCCACAAACAAAATATATATTTATGTTACAATGACTGAGACAGGTTCCCCCCGGGGGTGTCTCCACCTTGCCCCGCCCCGTCTTCAGCCCTTGAGGGCTTCGTTGTAGATCATGGCCAGGGCCCCCAGGAAGGTGACGTACTCCTGGAAATTCACCTCCTGGTCCTTATTGCGATCCAGGTCATCCATGAGCTTAGCAATTTCAGCATCCTGCAGTTTCTGATGGAGTGGGAGAGGAAATGCCACTGAGCAGCAGTGATGGGGGGGAGACCGTCCCGGCTCTTCCTTTCACAGGCAGCCCTCTCTCCAAGAGCTCCTGGCTCACTGTCACCAGAAAACCACAGCCACCTTACTGCTTAGCTCTTGTTCTTCACTCATGGAAAGTGAATGCCATGCTGAGAGTGCCCCCTGCATCCCTTCCTCCCAGAGCTGGGGGAAGTGGGCCCAAGGTTCACTAAAGGCATGTGGACCAGGGCCCCAGGATGCGGTTGCCTGGGAGTCAGGTGCACCTGCCACAGCTTCCCCAACCCTGGTTCTGTGGCTGCGGGTGGGCGGGGCAGGGGAGCAGCTACTCACAGAGCCAATGGTGAGCTCCTTCTGGATTAGCTCCTTCAGTTCCTTCTTGCTCAGGGTATGCTTGTCACCTTCCTTGCCGGAGTACTTGTGGAAGATGCCAATCAGCAGGCCAATAGCTTGGTCCAGGGGGCATGCCATGGTTACAGTTGAGCTAGGGCTGGCGGCAGAGGGGAGCTAGTCAGGGCACGGAGCTCACCTCACTGCCTGCCGGGACACCTAGCCTTGACCACATCGGGTGGCATCCAGGGGAGGGGAATGGGGACAGGACCAGGATCCGGGAGCAGATGTCCAAGGGGTGGGGGCACCGTTAGAGAGCAGAGTTTCTAACTATCCCCCTCCGGAGCTTTCATGGAAGGCCAAGCATGCAGCTTCGCAGGGACCCAGGGCGGTTGCACACACAGCCTCTGGCACAGACTGGCTGGGGCACACACTGCGTTAGAAATACGCCCCAGACACACCCTCCCGCACCCCGAGAGGGAGCCGGTTACAGAGAGCCACCCCAAAGGATGCCTTAGCCCCGAGGCCTGCCTGGCGCGGTCCTGCAGCTCCAGCCCGGGGAGCCCCAGAGCAGATGCAAACGTGCAAAGACCGTGGCCGCCTGGCAGTCCGGAGCCCGCAGCGCCAGCAGCCCAGGAAGAACCCAGAACCGCCCAGGGCAGGGGAGAACTCACGGTAGCGAAAGGCAGAACAGCGCAGAGGGAACGGTCCGGACATGGGCTGGGCCGCAGTCCTACCGACCTTATAGCGGCCGGCGCCGGGGAGGCCGGCGGGGCGGACCCACCCCACGGCCCTCGTCCCGCCCCGAGCCGCACCCTGCGCCCGGACTTACACAACCCACTCCCGCCGGCCCCCCGCGGCCCCCTCCCGCCCCGCCTGCGGCTCCGGGTTGGGAGCCGGACACTCGGGGAAGTATGGTGGGCTTAGGAGGACCCCATAAGCGGTGATGTTGAGTTTCCCTAATTGACCTAACTCGGTTTGTTTTTTGGGATGCGTGACACGGTGTAGGGAAAAGAAGGGGAAGGGAGGGGAGGAGAAAGAAACAATTTCCCCTCAACTCCAGCTTCTTCCTCTCCCTCCTTAGCACCAGAGCATAGGACCACCCCCCCCACCCACCCCACCCCCCGGGAGGCAGGGTCTCTGTTGTGAGGATAGTGGGGGAGAGGGAGTCCCGGGGTGCTTGTGCCGGGAAGGTGTGTGCAGGGCGGGTGGTCTGCAGGTGCACGGCTTAAAACATCGTGCTCTCCCGCCTCCCCCGCATGCCGGGAATCACTCGCCGAGCCTCTGCCAGTTACAGTGCCCACACACCAGGGCCAAGCCCAGGAAACATAATTAGCTATTCACACTTGAGTGGAAAGTTTCCAGATTGCCTCCAGAGAAAAGATTTGGATAGGGAGAAGGGTAGACTGATTGTTGGCGTTGGGAGGAGGGAGGGTTGTTGAGGGGAGTGGAGGGCAGGACAGGGCTGGGTGGGAGCGCAGGGCAGGGCTGGGCGGGAGGCCAGGTTGTCCCCCCACCCACCATCCATCGCCCCAGGAGCCCATCGCTGCTCCCAGAGCCGCGCCCACTCACCCTGCACCCTCACTCTCACTGCACTTCCTCTTTGCTTTCTCTCTGCATCTCCTTGGCTTTCCCTGAATCTTCCCAGTGTTACGGGAGGTGTGCAAACTCAAGGCTGCAGCAGGGTCCTGGGGGCAGTCAGCAGTAACCTCCGGCACCTCCCCCCAAAAGTGGAAGTGAAGTGAGAACCCAGGAGCCTCCCACCCACAGCTATCCCAGCTACCAAGGCAGAAAAGACACCCTCAAACCCTATACACCCCCAGCGGAAGAAATCTTTATTGCTGGAAGGAGAGTGGGAGAAACAGGAGGAATAGGGGCCAAAGAAGATCTGGGAGAAGGGCTGCCAAGGTCAGGGACAAGGGTTGGCAGGATGGTCATTTGTTATCCTCCAGGAAAAAATCGTTGTAGGCCATGCACAGGGTGGTCAGGAACACCGAGTACTCCTTGAAGTCGATCTCCTGGTCGCTGTTTTTGTCTAAGCTCTTCATCAGCCGATCAATGCTGCTCTCCTTCATCTTCTGTGAGGGCCACAGGTACAGAAGGAGCTCAGCAACAGCCGCAGGCCCTGCCCCACCAAGGCCTGTGCCTCCATTCCTCCCCACCTGCCAGGGGGCTGCCCAGCTGGGAATGCCTGGAGTCCCTGGATGTATCCCAGTGCACACCAAGCAGAGCCTGGCACCAGCAAGTGACACAAGCAAAGGAACCTGGCCTCCCTCCCTCCCTCCCCGCCCCCCAACACACACACACCTCTTCCCATCCTGAGACATAATCAGCTCAGCTTTATACCAGCAGCCAAAGCAGATGGCTTAGGATGCAGGTATTCGGTTAACTTCCAGTTAGACACCACATCCCCTATCACCATGTGTCGGGGTACAAGTCCCAATTCTGCTCCTGATTGCAGATTCCTGCTCATGCAGGCCCCCTCTGTCAGTAGATAGTGGCTTTAAGTAACTAGGATCCCTGTCACCCATGAGGGAGATCCAGATTGAGTTTGCAGCTGCAGTTGGGCGTCTGGGCAATTAACCAGAGGATGGGAGCTCTTAGTGCCTCTCCACCTCTTCTACTATGAAACACAAAAAGAGTCATGATGCTTTGGGGATACAGTGGCAGCAAGCTTCATCTACAGCCTGCAGGTCTTCGTAGGGGATGGATACTGGGACTCATGGACATGGCAACTGCCTGTCTGACATAATCCTGGTCCCCAGGCACAGCTCCAGTTCTAGCCAGGCCTTCCCTTGGGCCTCTGGCCTGGTATAATTAACTCCTGCTGGACCCACAGCCCCTCCCTCTGCCCTCATTAACTCCAGGATGTGGACGCCGACAGGAAGGGCAGAGAGCAGACCTGGGGACACCTTCATCTGCTTCATCCCCCGCCTTGGGCAACTTGACAGGGTTCAGGATGAAGGCAAGGGCCAAATATTCAAGGACATAATGTGGGTGAGACATAGACCTGGTGTCCAGTTTAGCCTCTCTCCAGCCGGAAGTCCCTGGATGAGTTTCACTCACTTTCCTTGCCTGTGGAATTAATACACTGCCTACTTCACAGGCCACCTCCTCTGTCTGTCACTCCTCCCTCTCACCATCTCCACCTGTTATTTCTCCCCCTTCCTGCCCATGTTTACAAGTCACTCTTGAAGTTCATGTGTCAACACAGCCTGGCTATGTTGGCACAGGGAGGAGAACCTGATGTGGTCCCCCAGTGCCTTGGGATGTACACAGCAGGGTCCTGGATCCCTTGGTTCCCCCCTGACCCCGAGACCATAGCACAGCCCCTGCTACCCCCGCGAGAGCCTATCCCCACCATCGAAGGCTCTCAATCCCTCACACAAGCTCAAGTCCACCTCCAGATTCAGCCCTCCTCCTTCACAGCAAGACCTTGACCTAGCCCCCAGCGCAGGGTCCAGAGCTCTGTTATCCCAAGATATCCTGGTTCAGTCACACAACCTTAGGGCACCAGGGTGGTGGTGAGGGAACCTTCTCCTACCTCCCCAAGATGCAGTTCCTCCTTTATCAGCTCCTTCAGTTCCTTCCTGCTCAGGGTCAGCTTGCTGCCCTCTCTCCCCGAGTATTTGTGGAATGTGGTGACCATGGTGGTCAGGGCCTTCTCGAGAGGGGTCTCCATCACGTGTTCAGGTCTGCAGCAGGGAGAGGTGAGTGCCATATTCCTCAGGGGGCCAGAGCTCCCTGATGCCCCTTAACCAGCCCTCCACCCGCAAGGCCCTTCACTCAAATACCTAGGGGCTGGAGCCCATAATGAAACCAGAATCCTCCAACCAGGGGACCTGTGCCAGTGCTCTGAGCCAACCAGCTGCCCTGGGATGTGGCTCCTTAGGAGCTGTCAAAAGAGGGGACCTAGGGGACAGCAGGAGGACAGGATAATACCACAACACCTGCAAACTGGTGGCAGGTGGTGAACATTGTCCCTCCAGTGTGGGCGCTAGGTCACCAGCAGTAGCTCCCACCTTGGTCATCCTCCTTTGCCCAGGTGCCTGAATCATTTGAGATGGAGAATCCAATTATAAACGTGGAGGTGCACAGGACAAGGACAGGGCCAAGACAGAGTCCAGAGCTAGAGGAGGCTGGGATTGGAGCAGGGGGACAAGATCCCAACAGGAAGCAGGAGGGAAGTGATTGGATTTGCCTGAGTGCTGTGCAGTCTCCATCCCAGGGCTAGCCAGGACCCGGCAGCCAAAGGACATCTCCAAGATGACTCTGAAACGTGCATCCAGAGCTCAGGTGTGCATGGCAACCTCAGTTCCATCAGCAGAGACACCTCCACCAAGGGCAGAGGGAGGAAGCTGGAGCTCTCCACCACTCGGGCTTGAAAACCACTTCCCCCAGGGAGGAAGAAGGGCACACCCACTTGAGTCACAGATGAGTCCCGTGGTGAGTGCTTAGCCTCAAGGAAGACGTCCTTGGCTCTCACCTCCAGACCCAAACCCTGCTCTTGCTGTTACTGAACTGCGTGTGCATTGTTGATCTCCCACGACCTAGAAAGGTCAGCTTCTCCCACCTTAAGAAGACCCAGCCAAGGCCACATGGCAGCCCAGGGCCTTGAGATGCCTGCAAGAGACCACGGCTGGGTCTCTCTCACCACTCCTACCCTTCACAGGAGGTTCTGGTATGTGCCCAGTACTCGCAGAGCACCCTATACCAGGCTTTCCTTGCAGAGGATACCACGCTTTCTCACCCCAATCTTCCTGACTCATCACCAGAAACCAAAACAGGCAGGGATACCCAGAAGGACTTACCAAGGAGAGCGCCAGCCCAGAGACTCCTGGCAGCACACACAGCCTCCCAGCCCCTGCTCACACCTTTATTGCTGCCTCCCAGTCCCCAGGAGCCCTGGGGGCGGGAGGAAAGGGGGCCAGTGAGGATGTGTCAGGGACACCAGGAGACCAGGTCAGAATCTCCAGGGCAGGGCATGGGGAGAAGCCTCTCTGCCAGTTTCCCTTTCTTGTTTACAAAATGTGCGGTGGTCACACACACTTCTTTAATCCTAGAAACTTGAGGCTTGCTGCTCAGAATTAAAATTGGCAACCTGATTGAACCCCAGAAAGCCTAGGTCCCTACACAGGGTGTGCACCATGTCCCCCGCCATTCTCCACATGGTGATTTTTCTCACCCGTCAAGGGCATGGTCAGGGACATCCATCAGCCAGTGTCGGGAGGGTTTACAAAACTTCACATGAGTGATTTTCTGTCAACCTCACCAATCGCATGCAAAAGAATTGTTGGAGTTCGGACAGGGAGGAACTAGTTGAGGGGACAAGGTGACACGGTGAGGGCAAGAACCTGAGATGGGGATGGAACTGGGGTTTGGGTTTAGAGCAGTCATGGGTGGGGTCGGCAGCCAGCATCCCCCAGGGACACTCAGGTGTTGCCCAGTGCGGGGATGACAGCAGAGTCAGAGCAGGACTGTGAGCCTGGGGTCTGCTGCTGTCCCTCTATGCCCCACCCCCAGCTGACAAAGGCTGGTTGCTAGGCAGCAGGAGTTTCTTTCCAAAGAGAGAGCAGCCCAGGAGGCTCCAGGGAGGACAGTGTCTGCTGGGAGGAGAGGGGAGAACACGAACTTCCTCCTGGACCAACATGCTACCCAAGTCTCTGGGGTCCGACTCGGGGAATAGCTGAGTCACCACCTCCTCCTCTGAGAGTTGAGGGGGAAAGCCTGGTGTGATGAGAAGTCAGGGGGACCCAACGCTCCAAGCCCCATGCAGGGTCCAGGCAGAGCCTGAGACTCACTTCAGCATCTGCGGGCACCACCAGCATCCCGCCTTCCCCAAGCATGGCGCCTCCTGGGCTTCAGTCTCACTCCCATCTTTCTCCCTCTTTCCTTCGGAGGTCCTTTCCTTCTCTGCCTGTGAGCAGAGCCCGTAGGTCCAAAAGCCACCTGCTATCCTTCCATGCTGCCCTTCCTGACGCATCTCCCCCTGTGGTGTGAAGGTGGTAGGGAAGCCTAGACCCCCCAGTGTCAGAACTAAATGCCAGCCCACTACACTCTGCACTCTGGCCTAATGTTCCCTCCAACCTCGTGACTCAGCCCTGTTCTCTTCCCACCAGACCCCATCCAGGAGCAACTGTGATCTTCCCATTGTCCCAGCCCCAGTGCAAATGCCTGCCAGTGGCAAGATTGGGAGGAGCTGGGAAGAATGACTGGGCTGGCTCAGAATCACAGCCAAGGCCTTCCACGTCTCTGGTGGTCCCTTTCCCTGTCTGGGCCCCTCCCTAGTCCACTGTGTCACACGCATGCCTGCACACACATATGCACACACACACATACACACACGCTTAGTCACCCCTCATTGCTCCCAGCCTGCACTCCTGGACCACCCACAAGCCTGCAGCTCGAGGCTGAGCACCCACAGCCCAACCCCCTACACACCCATCCCTCAGACCCCATTCCACAGCCCCAGAATCACGCACACCATGAGCCTTGTAGGAGCTAAGACTCTTTATTAAGCTTGCTTAGCATGGTACCCATGTCTGAAGGGGGCCAGGGTAAGACACGTACCCACCACCGACTGGGAAGAATAAACACCACCTCCCTGTCTCGGGCCAGCCCCAGCGGCATCCGAGGAGCATTCACTTCTTCCTGGGCTGCTTATCCGGGAATCCTTCAAAGAACTCATTGCACATCATGGCGATGCAGGACAGGAAGACGCAGTACTCCTGGAAGTCCACCTCGTTGTCCTGGTTGCTGTCCAAGTTGTTCATCAGCTTCTCAAAGGCAGCTTCGTCTCTTCTTTTCTGGAGGTAGAAAGCAGAAGCCCTGGGGGTAAAGCTGAGGCTAGACCGTGTTGGCACCCGCAGCATTGGTAGGTAGGGGGCCCAGCTTCAGGCTCCAACCCTCAGGGCCACACGGGGCTGAGGAGGCTCCGTGAGTGAGGAGGTCTGAGGGTCTAGTGCAGGTGTATAATGAAGTGACCACACGGCTTCCCTTGAGGTTGTCCTCATGAGCCAATGAGGTAATCATCCTGAATGCGTATACGAGGGTACTGCAAAGGGTTTGTAGAGACAGAACTATATTTAGAGGTTCATTTATTCATTTGGAAGGCAGAGTTACAGAGGGAAACAGAGAGACAGAGAGATCTTCCATCTGCCTGGTCACTCCCCAAATGCCAGGGCTGGGCCAGGTTGAAGCCAGGAACCTGAGCTCCACCTGGGTCTTCCGCATGAGTGACAGGGGCCCAAGTCTCTGGGCCATCTTTCTTGGCACTTGAGACTGGAAGCAGAGCACCAGGGACTTGACCCAGTGCCCACATGGGGTGCTGGTGTTGTAGATGATGGCTTAACCTGAGGAGCCCAGAAATGGGATTTTAAAATAAGCTGATTTTACTGCAAAAATGTTTGAAATCGGGCCCGGCGCGGTGGCGCAAGTGGTTAAGGTCCTCACCTAGCACGCCCGGGATCCCATATGGGCGCCGGTTCTAATCCCGGCAGCCCCGCTTCCTTTCCAGCTCCCTGCTTGTGGCCCGGGAAAGCAGTCCAGGACGGCCCAAAGCTTTGGGACCCTGCACCCGCGTGGGAGACCCGAAAGAGGCTCCTGGCTTCGGATAGGCATAGTATTGGCCCGTTGCGCTCACTTGGGGAGTGAATCATCGGATGGAAGATCTTCCTCTCTGTCTCTCCTCTCTGTATATCCGCCTTTCCAATCAAAAAATAATAAAAATAAATCTAAGAAAAAAAAATGTTTGAAATCCATGCTTATCAAAACTCTCCAAAGCATTCATAGAAAATGTGTATGATCTTCAAAACTATGAACTTGCAAATTTTGCACAAAATAAACTTGCTTTTTCACTCGACTTTCCATGTCCTTTTTGCAGCATCCTCCGGTAAACTGTGAGAAGTTTGGTGAATGTGTAAAATGTTGTTGGGTGGGAAACGCCTGTAGGTGTGTGTGTTGTCTCCACACCTGTGTCTTCTCATCCGTGAGCCCAAACCGAAACTCGGGCACTTGCCCACTGGGGTGGAGAATGGGCAGAGTGGGCGGTCCTGACACAGACCACACTTTGGCACACGGACCACTCTCCAAGTGTTGTTGCTCCTTCCCTTGAGACCCTAGTAGCGCATTTGTCTTAAAACCTCCCTCTTCTGGCTCAGCCTTTTCTTTGCTGGGGGCCTGGAAGTGAGAGGTGGACATCCTCCCAACATTGGCCCCCACCCCAGGCAAGTGGAGTAGGCTCTCTGTCTCCCCAACTTCCTCACCCAGAGAGAAGCACCAGACTTTGTCAATACCCCTCGAAAGTTTCCGAGACACTCAGAGCCTGTGCCCCACTGTGGGCAGTGTGTGCTCCCTGGCAGGACCCACTCACCCCCAAGAAGCTGGGCAGTTCACGGGTCAGCAGCTCCTTCAGCTCCGCCTTGTTGAGCTTGAACTTGTCTCCCTCTTTCCCCGAGTACTTGTGGAAGGTGGACACCATCACATCCAGGGCTTTCTCCAGGGGGTACGCCATGGCAGCTGTCAGGATCTGAGGGCAGGAGGCATGGGGCGTCCCAGTCTCCCCACTGCCTAGCCACAGGGGTGCAGAATGCGCCTATTGCACTGCCATCCCTCAAGGGGCCCTTGGGCAGTCAACTGCAATCCCCCCGGGAGGCACCCAGAGAGGTGTTCACAGCTGCCAGCAAGAAGCGGGTACATGATGGGAGACACATCCTGGGGAATGCAGACTTTTTACGGGCCCTGGACACTGAATCTGGGGATCCAGACAGTAAGTTCCAGGCCTACCCCCTAATGTATGCCTTGGCCTCCCCTCCTCCATCCACTCTATCCCGCCATCCCTTCCACCCCCACAACACAGCCACAAAGGCTGCCCCAGCCCATGCTGCTCCCTCCCAGCACTGGGTGTGGCAGCTGGAGGTCTGCCCAGAGGCCTGTAGCGGAAAAAACCAGCTGCTTAGCACCAAGCCCATTGTTGGAAGGGGCCAGGGAGGTAGCCAAGGCAGGGGTGCCCAGGGCAGATGCCAGGCCAAGCTCTCCCAGCCTTAGCTCTGTGTGCTGAGTGGAGGTTCACGGGGCAGAAGCATACAAAAGCGCTCAGTTGCCTTTTTCCTTCACTTTCTGCATCTGAACATGCACACAGTGCCTTGGGCAGCACAGCAAACCCAAGCCAGGGTGCACATCCACAGCTCACACTCACACACACACACTCACAACATGTGCATGCACACAAACACCACACCACTCCACACACAAGCCTGGTTTCTCAGACAGGCTCACCCTGTTGCACACTTTCCTGCTTCCTTCTCTCTTCCCACACACGTGTGGGCACACATGTCCCACCCCAGGGCCTGCACATCTGGATCCATTCAGCACAGCTGGCCCCTTCTTCCACCCAGCTTCAGCCTGGGACACCCCTTGCGTGCCAGTCAGGCCCACACACCACAACTCACCAAGCCGAGAGAGGAAGTGCTGAGGAGAGAGGAAGAGTGGGGAGAGCCCAGAGGTCTGACTATTTATACCCCGGGCAGGCCCTGCCCATGGCAAGGGGATGGGGGGAGCGGACGCTGCCCTCCTGCTCTGTGCTGGTGTGGTGTGTGCATGCGCATCCTCTCCACTGCCCCAGCTGGGGAACAAGGCTTCCTGACCCAGCCAGGCATCTGTGGGCAGTGGGTGTGTCCCAGTGGGTGCTGGGGGTCGGATGGAGTTGGCACACGCCCAGGGGGAAGGGAGCAGTCAGTGCTGGAGGCTGCAGGGTGGGTGAAGGAGTCCCACTTGCCATTACAGAGGGAGAAGCAGGGGTGGTTTTTGGCAGGTGGGAGAAGGCTCAGGTGTGTAGGAGAAACAGTTGTGGGTTGAACAGGGTGATGGAGTGGGGTGGGAAGGAGGCGTGGGGCTTGTGATGGCATCAGGAAAGGGCGTTGGGTGCAGAGGCAGAAGTGAAATGGGAGAAAATGGGGAGCTGGTGGGGAAACTGCATTAGGATGGGGCAGCATGGAGACTGAGGACTGTGTGAGGGGCAGCATGGGGGCTCAAGGCCCTTGGGGGAGGTCTCAGGCAGGGGTTTGCTTTAAGCGACCCCCTATTCCCTGCTGTCTCCACTACAGGGTCCCCTCCCCAACTGGGAGTAAACACCTCAGACACCCTAATCCTATTAGTGCTGCTCTTTGGACTCCCACAGCCCCAGGCAGGGAACAAACACTCCACCCCACCCTCCTCCTGCTCAGAGCATCCGGTCACAGTCACGAGGTCTAGGATCCAGTCTCCTGGCCCTTGGGACCTCAAGCTGCCCTCCTGCCCTGCTTGATGGCCAGGGGATTGGCGGAGGGGGGGACTTTTCGCTCTAAGAACCAAGAGACGATGGAGCAGCAGGCGCCTGTGCTGGTTGCAGCCATTGCATCTCTGCAGGCTCTGAAGCCGCTCCCCTCCATAGACAGCAGAGCTCTGACTCCTTCAGCACCGTCTCCCCTCCCCTTCTCTAGTGGACAAAGCCAGAGGGGAGCACAAAGCTGGCAGCAGGGCTGTGTCCCAAGACACCCCTCCTCCCGCCCCGCCCCAGCTCTCAGAAGAACCAAAGGGAGCCACATGGTCACAGTTCTTTATTAGGAGCTGAAAGGCCCAAGCCCTTGTGGGCTCACTGGCACATTCCACACTGGATCTCCAGGGCCCATGGCACATCCCGCTGCCTCCTTCTGCTGCACAGACAAGATGACTGGGCTGGCCAGGGGCTAGGGCAGGAGCTGCCTCACCAGCTGGGCACCCAGGTTCTCTAACAGGTGTGAACTGGGCAGTCCCATTTGAAGCAGGTGGGGGAAAGAGCAGGGAAGGGAGTGTAGGAGTCAGTTGGGCAGAGCCTGCCCTGTCCTCTGCAGCACTGCAGGCTACTGGGAGCAGGAGGGCTCCAGAGGACAGTCCTTGAAGTACTCATGGCAGTAGAGACAGAGGCAGGAGAGTGCACGCAGGAACTCGGCAAAGTCCACCTCACAGTCCTTGTTGGTGTCCAGAAGGCTCATGAACTTGCTGTAGTCACACTCCCGAGACTCGGTCTGTGATGGTGAGGGGGAAGGAAGACAATCAGGGTGAGTGGTGTAGACCCACCTCATACGACCGACTTCCTCCCTCTGCCGGTCCAACCCACACCCTCCTTGAGTGCCAACCTCAGGTCCCAACCACACCCAACTCTCCTTCCCCAGATCACTTCGTGAGCACCTGTCATATTCCACTGAGAGCCTACTGTGTGCTGGGTATCCTTCCCAGTGCTCTCCCTCAAGCCTCCCAGCAGTTCCTCCGGGCAGCAGGTGTGCAGATGGTGATGGCGATACCATTTGACAGAGGAGAACTGCTCTCCCTAGCATGCACACACACACTCACACACTCAACTCATTCACAAACACTAATACACGCACACACACACACTCATACTCACACACACACACTCACAGATTCCCTCTTTCTGTCTTAGGGCTCTCTGAGGGTCCCATGTGTGTCACCCCATGGGGAGGAGATGCTGCTCACCGGGGTCCAGGAGGGCAGCTCCTTCTGCAGCAGTTCCTTGAGCTCCGACTGGCTGAGCTTGTACTTGTCCCCGCAGCGCCCTGCATACTCCTGGAAGGTGCATATCACCGCAACTATTGCCTGCTCCAGGGGTCTGGCCATCCTCACTGCCACAGACAAAAGTGTGATCCAGAGCCCAGGTCCAGGACAGCCCCCCTGCCCACCATACCCTTGATATTTTCTGAGAGACTTTTCCCATACCTGTCATAACTCAGCTCCAGGCCCAGGACACCTCCCCATGACCTGACTGCACCTGCTCCTCCTGATTCACCTCCCTGCTGGCCTCAGGGTCATGCACCTAGACAGAGGCCTCATGTCCCTAATGTCATTGCAAGTCCTTAGAGAGAGGTGTCCCCAACTCCACTTGCACCCCCACAGTGGGGCTCTCTCCCACCTTAGCTACACCAGCAGTGGCTCTGTCTTTCACCTGACCCAACCCGAGGCCCTGGAAGCTTCTTGCCCTGCAAGATCCCAGGCCCCTCTTGCGTTCAGGGTCTCCCATGATGTGGAGGCATGGGATCCCTGCTCAGGGCAGGTGTAAGAGGAGGCCCACCACCGCGCCGTGCCTGCCTACCTCCACCCAAGGAAGCTACAGTCAAAGGGAAAACCGGGATCTACTGTGCAACCCTGCCTGGGTCTTTTATCCTCTCTGGCTCCCAGCGGCCTCATCTGGCTCATCCTAGCTCACAAGGCCCCAGCTCCATGGTGTTTTGAGTTAGCCAGCAGCAGTAAGGTAGCCAGCCACCATAGAGTTTCCCCTACGCTGGTGAGTTGCCCTAGGAGTCAGGAGGAGGTGGCAGGCTCTCTAAGGGACACCTGTTCTGTGAGCCGAGAAGCCCTTCCCAGAGTCTCCCCATTGACTCTCACACTCCAAGTCTCCCCATGCGTGGCCTGGGAAACCCTCCCCAGGCAGCCTGGAGAGCCAGAGTTTCCACATGACTCAGTGACTCACTCCTGATCCCCAAGGAAGGGAGGGAGGCCTGCCACACAGCTCAGGCCTGCTGAGCCTCCGTCCCTGACGCCTCGCTGACGTCTGCCAGGGCTCTGCTGTGAGTGAATGGCAGGGAAGGGGGGCACCTGGGTGCCAAGCACACCTGGGGCCTAGCTGAGTCTTTGGGACAGCCCAGGATGGGAGCAAGGCATCTGGGTCCCCAGACAGGAAAGACTCCCATGCCTGCAAGTGTGCAGTGTGCCCCCACCTGGCTCCAGCTGCCTGCCTGCCTGCCTGCCTGGCACCATCCTCCCTCCAGGCTGGAGACTGGCAGGCATCCTCTCTTCCCCGCAGCCCTGGCCAGTCTCAACTCCCCCCGGGCATGAGGCTCAAAGGGAGGCAAGGAGGAGGCAAGGGTAACCAGCCAAGGCAACACTTTTACTCAAGGTCCCCACCCTGTGGAACCAGACCTCGCCTCCCCTTGCCCTCTAGCCCTGACTCTCCCCACCCAGCCAGTCCCACCAGGGACAGGGGTTCCCCAACCCAGGGCAGCGCCCAAGCAGCTGGCACTCACCACTGCTGTTGGTGTCGGCTGTGGGCGCCCAGTACTGGGCCCTCCCTATTTGTAGCCTCCCAAGGCAGGAGGGGGGCAATTACAAGGACCCAAGTAGGTCACTGATGAGGGTGCCCCGGGGGCCTTCTGCCTCCTTCCTTCAACAGTCACCCGCACCCCCCTTCTCACCACCCACCTACCCACGCGCACATCAAAGACCCAGGCTGGGCCTCAGACACCACTCCCCTTGCATCGCTGTCTGCCTTGTGCTGCCTCCTGCCCTTGGCTGAGCCACCACATCCCTCTCCCTAACCCTTCACCCTCAAGAGGCACCCACGAGAAACGTGGAAGTTGGGTTGAGGAGGGCACACACTTCAGCCCCACCGTGACTGCACTGGGATTGGGGTGGGTCTTGAAGTGCATCTGATGTAGCTTCCCATTTATGGATGAGAAGACTGATTCCCCCAGGAAGCTTTGGGGGACCCTCTGTGCCGGGTCACCCAGGTGTTGGGTGACTCTTGGCTGGGAGCTGCCTGCTTCCCCAAGGCGAGTGCTGTGGGTGTCCCTGGCACCTAGGAGGCAGGGGTGCTCCAAGCAAGGCGCTTTTCTTGCCCTGCACCCTACATGGCCTCAGGACTGGTGGTTTCAGAGTCACTGGGAGCTAGAAGCTTCCAGGAGAAGGTTTGTTTTCTTGCCCTTCTGTATTCAGCAGCAAAGCAGCTGTCCTGACTCTCCTGAGGGTTACAGCGGGGTCCCCCTGGCTTGGGGCCCAGGTCACGGGGTGTTGAGTGTCCCCTACTTGAATTCCCTCCTCAGGGAAGTGCTGGGCTTCGGTTTCTGTCTTCCTCCCTCCTCAAACCATCAAAGCCCACGCGGAGGTTGAGCTTGGCTTGGCCAACACCCCGAGGGCACCCGGCTGCCCGCTCTCCACTCACCTCTTCCCCTGAGAATCTGACCGATTCACCCCTTACTGCCTGGCCATCTCTTTGAGGCTCCAGAAAGCCTTTCTTTCTTTATGATTGAATTTATCATGTATTTGAAAGGCAGAGTTACAGAGAGAAAGGGAAAGACAGAGAAAGGGGGGGAAAACACAGACAGAGAAGGAGAGATCTTTCAGCTGCTGGGTCACTCCACAAATGGCTGCTACAATGGTCAGGACTGGGCCAGGGCGAATCAAGGAGTTAGGAGCCACCTTTGGATCGCCCCACATGGATTAGGGGCCCCAGGACTTAGACCATTCTCTGCTTCTCTCCCAGCTGCATTATGAAGCAGCATTTCTATAGGATGTCCCACTGCAGGTGGCAGCTTAACCCACCACACCACAACACCGACATTTTAAATGCCGCCCAGGCTTTGTTTTTAGCAAAGGCAGCCATAGGATCAAAAGCAGAAAACCTTTGTGTCACTGCTCTCTTTGCTGTTTCCTCCCCTAAGCTTGAGGGATCCCTCCCCCTTCCACAGAAAGAGAACCCAAGAGTCAGAAGACTGTCAGAGAGCAGAAAAGATTGCCTTCTGGGCTGGTGGAGCCATCCTGACGCCCACAGAGGCAGCCAGGCAGTAATGACACCTTGACCTCGTGCTTGGTACTCAGCACCCAGTTGAGACTTCCGGAAGTCCCAACCCTCATGAACAGGAAAGAAGAGCTGTGATTAGCCCCGTTTTATTGATGGGGGCGGGGCATAGAGAACAGAGCACAGTGATGCAACACTAGTTGGGGCCGCAGCCTCCCAGCAATTAGCCCAGTGGCAGGTGGGCCGTGCCAACCACCGACCCCTGCCAATCTAGCCCTACCACCTCCCTGTAGCAGGTTGCCTTTCCTCTCTGGCTTTCATTTTTCCCCATGTGTCAGTGGTAGTGGAAGACGGCAGTAGGAACTGCTCCCAGAGTTGCCGTGAGGCTGCAGAGAGCTACTTCTTCCACAGCTCCAGGGATAAGCAGAGCCTAGCATGTGGTAGGGACTTGAGCAACATGAGTTGCAACTTCCTCAAAAGGCTGAGGTTTGGCTGGCACAGGAGCTATTCATGGTTCTGTGTTGAATGGTAGAGGTACCTGTACAAGGCCTGGGGTGATTCACTGTAAGCAGACAAAGTCCCTGCTCTGTAGACACAAACCATCCTGCAGGGGAAGCAGACAAGACCAAGTTCCACATTTAATAGGTAGTGATGCAAATGCTGCAAAGAAAAATAAGGCAGAGCTAAGAGAAAGAAAGTTATTTGAGGGGCCTGGCACCGTAGTCTAATAGTTAAAGTCCTCACCTTGCATGCACCAAGGACCCACATGGACACCCATTCTAATCCCGGCTGCTCCAATTCTCTTCCAGCTCCCTTTTTGTGGCCTGGGAAAGCAGTCAAAGACAGCCCAAAGCCTTAAGACCCTGCACCTGTGTGAGAGACCCACAGAAAGCTCCTGGCTGCTGGCTTCAGATTAGCTTAGCTCCAGCCATTGCAGCCACTTGGGGAGTAAACCAGCAGATAAAATATCTGTCTCTCCTCTCTGTAAATCTGACTTTCCAATAAAAATAAGTCTTTAAAAAAAGAAAAGAATTTTGGAATGGAAGCACCTTTTTTTTTTTTTAAGAATTGGTTGATTGATTGACTGATTTGAAAGGCAGAGTTGCAGAGAGAGGTGAAGAGAGATGTAGAGGTTTTCTAGCCCCTGGTTCACACCCCAGATGGCCACAGTGGCTGGAGCTGCTCCAGGTCAGCGTCAGAAGTGTAGAACTCTGTCTGGGTCTTCTGCGTGAGTACAAGCATCCAAGTACTTCTACTGCTTGCCCAATGCATTAGCAAGAAGCTGCATTTGAAGCAGAGCAGCCAGGACTTGAACCAGAGCTTGAATTCTGATAGGAGCTGTGGGTGTCACAAGCAACGATTTAACCCACTGCACCAAGTTGCCAGCCAAGGGGGCACTTGGTATGGGTGCTCACAAATGAACCTGAGCCCACATCCCTCTTGCCCAACCTTCCACATTCCTCAAAGCGCCTGTACCTCCCTAGAAACAGCCCCTGCATCCTCTGGGAACGTGGGAAAGGGGCCTAGAGCTCACCCCAGGAGAGCTCAGATGGAGAAACACAGAGAGGCCTTGGTCCAGGTACCCGGAGTTGATCCCTTAACTGGAACCACCCCCTGCCACCTGATCCCTTCGGCATGTTGCAGCCTTTAGCTCCTTGGGGCCTTCATTTCTCTGGGGAAATTCCTACCCAAAGCATCCCATGTGACAGCACTTTGGCTCGCTTGTTGCTGCTGTGACCAATGGCCATGCTCAGCTCTCTGAACTGAACAACCACCTGCTGAATCACGGGAGCAGGTGGTGGGGCAGCCCCTCCTTATCGGGTCATCTTGTACAACCTCCTGTCTCTCTGCCGATGTGGAACTTCTCTTCTCTCCTTAGAGTTATTGGAGAGACTGGAGTCCTCACCTGAGCAGGTACAGGCTTTATTTTTTTTTTAAGATTTATTTATTTTTATTGGAAAAGCAGATTTACAGAGAGGAGAGACAGAAAGATCTTCCATCCGCTGGTTCACTCCCCAGGTAGCCACAATGGCCAGAGCTAAGCCAATCCAAGATCTGAAGCCAGGGGCCTCTTCTGGGTCTCCCACATGGGTGCAGGGTCCCAAGG